GCGATGGGCTTCCAGGCGTCCACCCTGGGTGATGCGGCTTTCAAGCATCCGATTCACCATCGCTGGCTGTTCAGCATGGTGCACGCGCCCCCCTTTCTCTGCCTATGCAGCTCGCGTCCTCCTGTTAGATCTATTCGGCGGCTGCGACTGCAAACACAGGAAGCTTGAAAAGTAGCCTACTGCGTAGAAGTCGGCGCACTAGGCGCACAGGTTCGGAGTAACGCTTGGTAAAACTATTCCGTCGAACGCGCAGTAGCGCCAGCAGGTTGGACAGGTGCGCGTACGGCTCGACGCAAGTCGGGAGCGGTGCAGAGGTTGTGCGCGGTGCAGTCGGGGGCGCAAGAGAGGGTGGACAGGTTGGCGTCGAAGGTAGTGATGCGCAAGCTGACCCAGGCTGCGGTGGTTTGATGATTGCAAGAGTGTCGGTTAACCTGGGGAATTTCGCGAAGGTGAGACGCACCGGAGCAAAGCATCTGCCCCCGTGAAATCCGATGCAGCCTTGGCGGGCAGCACGCCTACGGCGTTCACAGCATGCTTTGCATTCAAATATTGAAGCCTCTGCTTCCCTGACCCAGCTTCGCTATCCCTCAAGATAAATGCTGAGGGTGCGAACAGCATCCATTCAGGCTAAGGTCCTGGGTGGTCGTCTTCGAAGACTCTCGCCGCTCGAAAGGCGTCGCAAAAGACTGTGCATGGCGGAAGCGTGTGGCCCATCATATTAAGACCCTGACAGTGCGCGGTAGTTAGAAATTGCGACTCGTCGCGTAAAGGCGACGCGTTCCGCCAGTCCAAACTGGGCGCGAATGTGGTTTCGAGCGTGAGGGCGACGAAGACGACGGCGATAGCATAACGCGTCTACAAGCACCGACAGCGCGGTACTGAACAGGCAGAGGGTTTTTACCTGTATATATATATATTAACGCTGTGTTCATAGGCTCTGGATGAGTACATATATCCCCTTGACAAAAGTGCCAGTATTCAGATAGTCGCTCTTGTTGAGGATGCTCACGTCGGGTATGACCTCGTCAATGGCGTACTCGAGTCGCGACATGACGTCCCTGCGGCGGCTGTCCAGAGCTCCTAGGACAGCTCGTTTTCCCGGGCTCGATGGTAGGTGGTTTGAAGCGAAAACAAAGATAATGGCGGGATTCGGACAGGAGGCCGAGGCCTTGTGGCGCCCAGAAGTCGGAGTATCCGACTGACAGAAGCAAAGCACGTGTGATCCAGCCACTGAAGCACTCTATAGACCCTACCATGATCCTGCCATACTCGAGTCGGTCTGAATTATCATGGAGGACTCAATGGACGTCTCAAGAGCGGTGAGCGCATCTCGATCGGCTTGCGCCTCCACTAGCTTGGTGTCTTCGCGAACGATTCCGAGCATGCAAAGAGGCGCTCCTCTTGCGACGGTGTCTAGCCTGCGAAGAGCTCGGTGAGCTGTGCCTTGAGGCGGACTGTCCGCCCGTCGAGCTCGTAGTCTCTTTCGCTGAAGTGAGATCGAGCGCACTGAGCTCCCGGTATCCCGTAGCCTAGCACAGAGGGCCTCGGCTTGATCTTCTGCCGCCTAGGGCTCATCCTACAGTAAACACCAAGTTAGAATAGCTGTTAGAATGATCTAACTGCCTCAAGCATGAGCGATCTACATCAGCTGTCCACAACCCGGTCGGGCTCCCTTAAGCTTCAGACGCCGTCTCAATCTTGTGAAGTAGGTCTCCGTGAATCGGTCAGAGAGCGACAGTGAGCTTCATCGGTGGGGTCACTTAACCGGTGTGATAGAGCAAAATACTGTACTGTGTAACTGCGGCTTGTAGCAGAGCGATGCCAGTATGGTCTTGAAGAAGTCGAAGACCGGGCTGCGAACCCCCATCTCGTCAACTAGTCCCAAAACCGATGCTCTTATAACGACAATCTATATTCTTGTAATTAAAAAAAAACATGAGAAAATTTGGACGAGTAAGAGAACGAGCCTTACAGTGCTCCATTGGTCCTGTGGTTGGTAAGAGGGACCGAGAGTACTTCTCCTTGACGGGATACCTTCATTGGAGTTGACCCAAGCTGACTAAGCGTTCACACATTTACAGGCGCTTGTCTACCCCAGCTTCAGCTTCACCTTCGAGCCCTCATCTCGCTGTTCCTGTCCTGTTTGCCCACTCTCCCCTTCCAACTCGCTAGCCACAGAATTCAAGCATGGGTAATGATGGCGGAAGTATCCCAGATCGTCGCGACCTAGTAAGGACGAAGCCAAAGGTAGGCAGTACTTGCGTATGATTGGTTGTACACGTGAGGACTGACCCTGCATTCTTGTAGGCTGAACAGGCCGACAAAG